TTTATTGGGGGGGGGGGGGAAAAGGCTGTTTTGTTTCAGGGGTGCCGGGCTGGGGGGTGGTTCGGGGTTGAACTTTGCTACGAGGTAAGGTGTTGACCAAGCAGGTAACGGTTTGCAGGCGAGGATGTTGTTGCAAAGGGAGAGGCCGGGCGCGACTGGCGGGGAGGGAAGCGGGGGGAGGGGGTAATGCCTGTTGTGTAGCCTGTGCGCGTGCCGATGTGGCACGGGGAGCTCTTCCCCAAAGTCGGGATGAAAGGTTCCGTTGTACTCCTTCACGGGTGGGATCGAACGATCGGTCTCTCTTGTCCTAGACGCATGTTTTGGCAGGAGAGCTTGAGCTTGGTTGTGATTTGGTGTCTTTCTTTCTTCTCCTTGCTTTCTTGCCCCTTGCGTGGGCAGGTTCTCGGCCATGACGATGAAGGCCGTGGGTACCGCCGCTATGGAGATGGTGCAGGAGGTGGAGATCCAGTTCGACGAGGTGAGAGAAGGACGTTCCTAACGGAGAAAAACGATGCAAAGCCTCCCCCCCTATCTGTCCGAACACGGAACTATTTGTGTTGGTTTCCGCGTGCCTTCCTCTGGCTTTCTGTCATACTGGCGTTGCTCCCTCACACACGATCTGCACTTGCTGCCTCGTCGCTCGTGGTTGCCTGTGTATAGAACCCGCGCCTCCTGGACGAGGGCACCTCGGAGCGCCCCGACTACCAGCGGTGCATCGCCATCTCCACCCGCGCCGCCCTCAAGTACATGGTGCCGCCCGGGGCTCTGGTGATGCTGGCTCCTCTCGTGGCGGGAACGTTCTTCGGCGTCATGGCCGTGTGTGGGTTGCTCACCGGTAAGAGGACGAGGCCGTGTCACACTGCTTGTGTTGTAACTGTTGTTGAACGGTGCTGGTGTTACACCTGTTTCCTGGTGCACATCGAAGGGCGTGTTCTACTTCTTTTGTTGCTGTTGTTGAACGGTGCTATTCTCCCGCTTTTTGTCTAATTTATATCGAAGGCCACGTTCTGCTCTTGTTGAGTGGTGCTGGTGTTGCACCTGTTGCCTTGTTCGCAGCGTACTTGGAGAGCTCAGCCTATTCGCTGTTGCGTTTATACGCGGGGCGTCATTTCGTGAGAGTCGGTACCTCTCGCACGCATGTATTTTGGCAGGCGTGTCCAATAGACAGAATCATTGGTGTGTGTAGAAATTGCCATGTCGTTGATAACCCGGGGTCTTTTCCGCGCAAAGGCTTCGTCTCACGGTTATTTCTCGTTGGTTGTTCGCGCACCATTTGCAGGCGGCATGGCTTCCGGCGTGCAGGTGGCCATCTCCATGTCCAACACCGGCGGGGCCTGGGACAACGCGAAGAAGTACATCGAGCGGGCCACCCCCGACTCGGACCTCCAGGGCAAGGGCTCCGACATCCACAAGGTGAGGGCTGGGGAGTGGGCGTACTCATGTGTTGCATGCATGCCTTAGCTGTTGGACAATTGACGGGGACGAGGGCCGGTGAAGCCACAACGCGGGGTTTCGTTTTCTTAGCTCGTTCAAATATGCGTTCGAGGGTTTCTGGTACGAATTTTCGTGTGTGCGGCTGCTGCTGTGGTCCTGTTTTGCGGTCGATTGTGGTCGTCCTTTCTCCGACGAAGATGCCGGTCCTTGTTGCAAATCGTACAGTACTACCATTCGTTTTGTCATCAGCTCCAGCTTCGTCTGGGTGCGGGACGAAAAACTTGGGGGTGGTTGAGTCGGTCGATGGAGCATCATGTGTTGTTTTTTTTTACTCTTTCCCTTGCCTGCACTAGATACCCTCCACCTTCTCTCATTTGGTCCCTGCATCTAACCCCAGCGTTCCACCCTTTTGCCCCCTGGGTTCCCTTCCTCCCAACTCCGAAATCGATTTTTCTTCTTTAAAGGCTGCCGTCGTCGGTGACACCGTGGGTGACCCGCTCAAGGACACCTCCGGCCCTTCCCTCAACATCCTCATGAAGCTCATGGCCATCATCTCTCTGGTGTTCGCCGAGTACTTCCAGGCCATCAACAACGGCCAGGGAGCGTTCAACATCGAGAGCTAAATGTGTTGGTTCGGCGGCATGATGGCCGAATGTTGTTGGTTGGGGGTGGAGGAGGAGGGTATATACGTACCCGCCCGTCCGATCCGGCCTCTCTTTTCTCGTGAGATTCCGGGGGAGGGGGGGCTCGGGGCGATAGATGAGATGCACGCCAAAACGTGTTGCGAAGCTGTAGCTGATGGCGTTAGGGGGGGGGGACTAGCGAGGGAACATGATGACCACAGGTACACTTCCCGCCGGTTGGTCTTTGCGTTTTAGAAGAATGGAGCAGGGTGTTTACGTTTTACTTCCTTTTCGGTAGGGATCGCCGGGGGGAGAGGGACGGCGAGGAGATAGGTGGCGTTGATTCGATTTGATGGAATAGATTGTGGACCCCGTGTTTTGGTCTGTTGGCGTGGTTGGTTCCGTGTCCATCTCGAAGAGGCGTTCCTGGGTCAAGGTTGGGGGCAGAGGGCGAGCGCTGATCGTGTGGTGGATTTTTTTCGGACGACACAGCATGAGTACTAGTAGTTGTAGTAGTTCGTTGGTGGCTGGGAAAATAGTCGACCTGTTGCGAGAAGTTGGATGCGTCGTGCGTTTGGTTGGCCCTTGGGCTAGATAAAACTGGGACTTGGCCTACCTGGTCGTTGTGAGGGTGAGAAGAGGTGTTTTGGGTCCCCTCGAGCCGCTTGCTTGTCTCCATCATCATTGTTGCTTGTACGAGTCCCGTCTCTTTACGATTGGTGCCACTGCTGCTGCTGCTGCTGCTGCTTTTGTTGGGTTGCGGCGACGAAGTCGTGGTTACTGCTGTTTTGTGGAGAGAGCAGCAGCGCCTTGGGGCATAGAAATTTTCACCGAGTGTGTCGAATCTCTCTAAACAATGATGATACCAACATACACGATTTTTTTGTCTCGATCTTCGGTCCGGTCCGGTTTGTTGACTCTTCGGATAAGCAGGTTCCGTGGGAACGAGCAAGTGAGTGCTCGTTGCTGCTTGCAACCCGCTCCTCACGTTCTCGTTCAAATATATAACCTGTCTGCTGTGTGTACCTCAGCAGCAGTAGTTGGCAGCGAGAGCAAGGTGTACGTAGTTTTACTTCCTCTGCAGTTCGACCGTGCATGACTTGTACTGCATGCCGATGGATGGATGTACACGCTCTTCCACTCTGGTTCTTCTCGAGAGACATCGGTGCCAAGATGCTCACTTACTTCTTGGCGACGGAACTTGAAAAGCAGCTGGTTTCTCCCTCCTGCGTACTTTTAACTTTTCGCTTGGTTGAATCTGCTGCTGGCGGTGACTGGCTGATTACGTAGTCCACATCGTCGCTTGTGTTTGGTTGTTGATCGAATGTGAGCGTCCCTCCAAGTCGAAGATCCTACTTTTCACCGACCTTACAGCAGTGAGTGGTGTACGGTGACGAGCGCGACGAGTATTTTTCTACGTACCACCACTCCTCGATACGGATCACCACTCGGCATTCTTCCATAACGAAGAACTACAGTTGACGATATCGCCAACTGCAGCAGCTGGAGGCTTGTAAGAACTGTCAGATGTCGCCTTGTCGACCAATCAGAAGCAAGGAAACGAAGGGAGATGCGAGAGCGCGAGGGAGGGAGCAGAACATAGAACGACCAATTACCAGCCACCTAACCTCACGGGGAAGGCTTACTGCTCTCAAAGCAGCTCCACAAAGCCGTTCTCTCTCTGACTGCGCTGTGGAATGTTGAATCCACAAGTTGGAAGTTGGATCCCACAATTCCCCCGAACCGTCACTTTTTTGTCATGCAAACCTCCGCATCTCCGCATCCGTTCAATTTCAATTTCAAAACAAGGCACGCGGGCACCTCAAGCACCAAGCACCCGCCATGTTGATGCCGAACCTCTGGTCTGGGCGGCGCTCGTCGACAGATTGGCATGATGGTACAAGCGGTGTCACCATGCGCGGTTCAGAGGGAATGGATTCTCCCAGTCGCTCGGAGTTGTTCGACGCAAAGTCGGCGAACGAACGTCTGCTGGATGGAGCGAGAGTCACCCCGTTGGCCTATGCAGGTTTTGTTCCTGTGAGTATGATATGCATAGTGAAAATGCATTGGGTGTGGCTCGCGCACCCATTCAAGGTGCTATGACGCGTTGTTGGTCTGCCGCTGATCACCGCTCATGTACATGCCTTTATTATCTGCAAACATGCACCACGTGAAACTCACCGCGTTGATCCGTCTGCTGGGCCGGTCACGGTTGGTTGCGCCGCATGCCCGCTCCACTCGCTCAACAAAACGGGATACATACAATAGACAGCGTACAAGAACTGTTGTGCAGCTAAGCTTGGTGTATATATAGCAGAGAAAGGATATATTGTGCTACGACTTACAGTAATTGGCGGCGACTATCCATTGAACCGAAGCTGGGGCCTCTGTAGGCTACGCACGTAACTCCTCACACGACAGCCATAACGACAACCAACCCTCATCTACCCGGTCGTCCGGTCACACTCCTCACGTTAATGCTGTTTGCGGGTGCCTCTCGACATGGCGGTGGAACTGTTTGCTCGTCGTTTCTTGTTTGTTGCACACAATCCAGGTTCATCCCAGCTGCCTTCTCGACCGCCGAGGCCGTCAGAAAGTTAGTGTAATGTGGGGAGCGCAGGTGAGTAGAAGTAGGAAATCAAAATCCAAACTTGAATTCATTGTATGTTGAGTCAATCAACATCAACAGCATCTTTGTTCATTTTCTAAATATGACCCAACGAATCCATCTCTATCTAGGAAAATAGTCTAAGATAGATTAGCAATGAATTCATAGCTTTTCTTGCTGTGGTTGGTGTCGTCGTGTGCCACAACAAAAGTCTGGTACAGCACAGCACACATACGTCTGAAAAGAGGAGTCTTTTGGCGTTCGTGTTGCCATTGTTACCATGTGCCAATCGATGTGAGAAATAGAGATGTACTGGTATTCTCACCAAACAAGGTCTGGTCTATGCCTGTTGCCTTGGTGATGACACAGCAGTCCAGACGGCAACGAGTTCGAACCCTGACGAGGTGTGTGTTGTCCGCATTTCATACTACGAGAAATTTCTTGCTAGTCCGTCTTCCTTGAGGGTAGGATGACTGAACCCTTGTCGCGTTGAGGTATGCACTGCAATTGAGCTATTCCATGTAACCTAGATCGCAGCTCATCAGAAAATATAGGTATTTACAGCAGTGAAGAGAGGTAAGGTCGTACATGTAGATAGGTGTGAGCTGCGACCGACGGTGGGCAAACTGGATGCAAATGACCAAGGCATACCTCCCCAGCTAGAAAAGCCAAAACGTGAGAGACGACGTCCGCGGTAACAGGTTCACTAGAGTCTCTAAACCAAACCGCTACGCTCTCGAGATGAAAATACATCAGTTATTAGCCTCTCTTGTCTTGCTCCTGCCTGCCTCGTTGTCTACCTTTCTCTCTCTTTCTCTCTCTCTCTCTGTCTGTCTCTCTCTCTCTCTCTCTCTCTCTCTCTCTCCTTGCGTCAACCGACGTTCTGGATCTCTAACCTTCTTGTGAACTGTTCCGAAAAAGCTGGTGTGCGTGTTGTACTACCTCCGACGAAAATTTTGGCGTGCTTGTGCGGCGTCTTACGACATGACATGCAAAGGTCATCCAAGGTATAAAGCACGACAGCGTGGAGCTAGTGCGAGGCGCCCTGAGACACGAGTTTTCCAATCCCGAGGAACGCTTGGAAGACTCCGGCCCGGCCGGCGCGGCGTTCTCTTTCGCGAACGCGGTGCGTATGGATAGTACAAAGAAGTTCGACAGCAATGCGGTTTATTTCTTCAATCCTCCCTCACCAGCAACCAGCAGCAGCAAACGGCAGCAGCATTATCGACACCAACGACCCAATGATAACAACAACAACAAACAACAACAAACAACAACAACAACAACAACAACAACAACAACAACAACAACAATAACAATAATAACAATAACAACAACAGCAACAACACCACCAACAACAACACTGCCGACGACGACGACGACGACGTTCCGAGACCATGCGTACTCCAGGCTGGGGGAACCCAACGCAGTCAACGCCGTCGGAATGCAGTCTGCGGTGCGTATGGTGGCGTCAAGGGCGCGCGCAAGAGCTCCATCGTTTCAGCAGCCCTTGTCCGAGAGACGCTCACGTTCTTCTTGCCCCGGGTGCTGTCGAATCTTACGCCTACGTTCCGAATCATCAGCACACGTAACTCAAAGCACCGGGACGAAACCATAGTGGTGTACTACATTGACACTCGTGTCTCGATCTCAACTTTGATACTGGTCCCACACATAAGAAGAAGGGCATGGGCGGTGGTTCTCCTGCAAAGAAAGAAGATCAAGCAGGTGCCTGCGATCTACACGTCTCCACGGCATCTAACTATCGTTCGTTCGTTCGTTCTTCTACAAAGAAGCACAAAGCGGGTGTTGTGGTGCCTGCGATCTACACATTACGACACGACATCTAACTACTACATCATTCGCTCACTGCTGCTGCATCCGTCCGTGGATGATGACACCGCCGCCCCGTCAAGCAGGCCATATTCACCCAGGAGCAGATGGACCGCGTCGTCGACGACCTCAAGCTCCGCACGAGGGAGACAAACGCGAAAACGAAGCGCTTCGTGAGCGACTCGGAGTGGCTCACCATCGACCAGGTGCAGTATAAAAACACACCTCGTCGTTGGTTGTGATTCTTCTTGTCATTGAATCGACTGTGACGTGTTTGTGGCCGAACTTTTGTTTTTCTTCTCAGGGTGGGAATTCTTCTCGTCATTGTATCGATGGTGACGTGTTTGTGGCCGAACTGTGCTTTTTCTTTCACGATGGTTGTTTTTGTCTGGTAGTGTAGTAGTCTGTGTTGTTGTTTCCGGCTGTCGCACCTCGTTTCTTCGGGCTCAAACTATGTAGTAGTTTGCACAAAGACTCGGTCGACAAAGAAAGTCAGTTGCGCAATGGGTCGGCGATGAAACGACTCTCCAATCAACCCTGTCTGCTGATCGCCTCAGACAACGTCCGGCCCTCTGCCGAAAGCGGTGTGTGTTGACGACCAACCAACAACCGAAACCATGTCTACCGTGCTTTCTCGTCGCCCTGGCAAAGCCTGCCGGGTACCCGGGGGCAAACGCTCCCGGGAATATCAACCCGAAATGACCAATCAAGTTATTACAAGATAAAGCTAACCGCTAAATTCCACGTCGAGAAAAGACACTAGGTGAGACCGGGACGTACGCCAGCGTGCTCATGTCAAGGGCGACGGGTGGAGACACGGGGCTTCACATCGCCATCACCCTGGGGAGCTTACGGGCTGCCCAGGTCAGCGTGTGGAGACGAAAACAAAATCGCGCCCTCCCCGCCCTCCCGCACCTGTGTGTGTGATCGTGTGTGAACGGAGGGCGAATGATTGATCCTTGACGCACTTTTCGCTTTTCTACACCCTCCCCCGTCTCACCGCTGCTCCAAGAGCACTCCCAAACCCCGCTCCCCGTCCCGTGCATATGCACGAGAACCAGCGTGACAATAAGCTGACGAATCTTCCTCAAAGCCGGGGGCGTGAGGTTGGGGGGGGGCATTGGCCTCCGTAGGCAAAACTTTGCCGATTTTGTTAACATTACGTTGAGAAAAGTTCGTGAGGAAGCCCCACCTTTTCACACCCCTGGTCATCATGACCAACGATGATCGCACCGGTGCGCTGTGGTTGCTCGAAACGAAGATTGTGCGTGCACTCACGTGGTTGCGGCGCTCTGCCTTGTGTGTTGTTTGTTTTGTTTGATTGTTGTTATGTTGGCGACGTTGCGTGGTGTCGTTGTCGGGGGCGCAAGGCAAGCAGGTCTTCGTGGAGGAGGGGTGCGACGTGACCATCCTTAACGACGACGGAGTGTCCGCGGTTACCATCCTGAGGCAAGACGGGGGGGATAAAAAAATGATTAGTTTCGGCAAACCAAGTGCATCTACAATGGGACCTAACCGCATCCGAGATGGAGTAAGGTTGCAGTCGTGGCGCGGCACAGGGCACCACCACCTCGTCGAAACGATGGCAAAACAGAGTAATTGCTAGGCAACCCGTTGGAAAATACGGGGAAGCTTCTACTCAAGTAGACGAACAACTCAAACGAGTGTCCTCACTAAAACAAGTTGCAGGCTACTGCTGTCACGCTCAACCTCGGATTTGGGCTGTCTTGGTTCGTCTGGATACATTTCATGTGCTACGCCAACACATTATCTCACCTATCAATCGGATTATTTCATCAAGCAATCTCCCTCAAGACCAAGCTGTCTGCCCCTTGTGTGTACTGTATGTAGTCTCTCGGCAACCGACTTTCTTGAGGTTGCTGAAAAACCTAGACCCTACCATTGGTGTCTCAGCAACATGTCGTCGAAACACCCGAAGTCAGCCATGCCTTCCAATACACCACAACACCCGCACCACGCACCACGCGCTCTCAGCGACAACTTCGACAAGGTGATGGAGCTGGTGCTTCGCATCGCCCAGCTCGAGGAGGATTTCTCGCGCAAGGGCATCACGGCCCGCCGGCTGACTGCAGCAGAAAAGGTGAGGGGGAGATGCATCGATCGATCGGTCGATCGACACCGCCGCAAGTCTCTCCCGCAACGTATGCCCCAAACGTGCACGCCCCTCGCTTCTTGGCGAGGAGGCTTTCAGTCCTTGATACTCCGAGAGGGGGGGGGAAGTCCAACGCTACAGCAGTAGGTGCACAGGTGTGTTGTGCGGGTGGTTGTGGGTGCTCGACCGTGCACCACACCGTATCACACTACAGCAATAGTAGGTGTACGGGTGTAACAAGGGTTTAGGTGCTTGGTCGCGCCCCAAGCCTTCCTCGAGGGCGTTACCGCCGACTCCGAGTCCTGGACGACACAGCGCGTCCCCTGCGGGACACCCGTACACGCAGTTTCCTCTCACCGTGTGATATGGGCTACAGAGCAGCGAGCTTGATGCGAAGCAGGGCGCTCGTCGTCGTCGGGGTTGTTCCGGCTGTGCCAGAAAACCTTGCATGTGTGCATGAACGAAACGCCTGCATTGAACAGTGTGGACAGAGGGAAGTCGTCCTCGGGAGCCAGATGTAGGGGCAGATTTGACCCACAGGCCATCTCCACAACAACAGCAGCAGTAGTAACATTGTTGCATCTGTGACCGTCTCCCCCCGCGTCGGCGTCGTCATTATTAATGCTGCTACTTCTGTCCTTGTTGCTCTGCGTCGCGCCCACCAGGCATCCCTAGCGCAGCTGGATCGAGTGGTCCACAAGGCCAACGAGTACAGGCTTTTCGGGCACGGACTGGCTTGCTACTTCGTGGACAGGCTGTCAGACTGGCCCGCCCTGCAGGCGAGATCCGCTCAATCATGTTGTTACCGCTCATCATGTCAACCACAGTCATGAATGAAGTGTGTACGGATGATGTGCGTTGTACCTTCCGTCCTCGAGCCTGAGGAGCAAAAGTTGGTCCTTGCCTTCGGGGAAACGGGTCGAGGGTGGCCCTCGACCTGTCAACCACAGTAGTAGTGTTTTCAAGGGAGAACCTGTGCTATGTGCGCCTGTCGCCTAAGGCCGCCTGTCACGACCATCACCTTTCTTTCTTTTCGCCTGCCAACGAAACACACCCGGTGGGTCGAATCGAGCAGGAAGAGGCGCGAGCGTGCGAGATAGAGGGGCGGGAGATGCTCCCCGCGGCGCAACGAGAGCTGCGCCTTTGCGAGGTCATGTGCAGGTGAAAAAGGCAGCAAGCTGCCCAGACGGTAACAACAGCAGAGCAAAAGAAAAGCACGTCATGTCGAACGATGAGGCCGCCCGATGTTTCGGGGGAAGACTGCCGTCGTTTTCTTTCCGTCCGTCCGTCCCTCCCCTCGTCCGCTATTTTGTTTACCCACCAGCTAGCTACCGTTGCTTGGAGCGTCGGCTCCATGTCCCAAGTTGATGCAGGATCGGCTTGTCGTGCAGGGTTGTGCTATCATCCTGATTTAAGCGTTTGATTTGACAAGTGTAAGGTTCTCGGATCGGTCGCCGGAAAGAGTCTACTCGACGGGCCCCGTCCACCATACACTAAAAATATATATACCGCCAAACGGTCTGTCACGCACGCTTCCTACAACCCGGTCCTTTTTTCGTTGTGGATTGTTTGGTCGATCGATATACTCGCGCCCCCCTCCCCCACGCCCTCCCTACGGTGTTTGCCATCGGGGTTGGGTTTTCGTCGCGTGGCAACGACGTTGTAACACAAGCCGCTGCCCCCGGTGTTTGCCATCGGGGTTGGGTTTTCGTCGCTTGGCAACGACGTTGTAAAAGAAGCCAATTCACTTCGTGAACTCGGCAACCAGGTTACCGTTTTTTTTTTTACTTTTGTTTTTTTTTTGGCGGTAACCATAGTGGTGGTCGAGTATAGATCATGTTGTGCGGGGTCGAGAACCCTCACTCCGCGCAAAGGGGATAATCGCACCATGTTGTGTTAAATTGGCCAAGCACCCTCGAGGCAGTTACAAGGTGCTTACAACTGTCTCTGGAAGTGAAAGCACCAAAAAGTAAATTAAGTCATACGCAGCTGTCATCCGCGCAAGGAGTAAGCACAAGATGCTGAACACCCTTAGCAGGATGCAGCTCACCCTTCATGCGACTCGCCGAATACCTCACGGCGCTTCGCGCTTGGTGATGTGAGAGTCTGGACCCGGCGTGCTCCGTCCCGGCTTAGTAGGGATGCGAGGTCAATGGTCTAACGACTACGGCATGCACGACTATTGAGTACACCCCCCCCCCCCCCTCCCCACTATTCTGTAGGTACCTCGAGCAATGCGAGGCCATCCGAGATCGAGAACACGAAATCCTGCCGCCGCTTACCCTGGAGGACCTCGACTCCAAGGCCGACCGTTTCACCGGCGTCCTCGACCCGAAGGGAGAAGGAGGAAGCGGTGGCATCCGCCGCCAGGAGGACTCCGGGGGCCACAGCGGCAGCCAGGACCGAGTCACCCTCTCGGCGGGCGCCAACGCCATTATGTCGGCCCGGATGGCGCTTTCCATAATGGGGTCGACGCGGTCTTCTGGCGGTACCGGGGGTAGCAAGGGAGACGAGGAAGGAGGCGACGTTCGACGGGAGGACCGAGGGCAGCACCAGCAGCAGAGTGTGGCGGCGGCGGCGGGTTCTTCGATAGCAGGCAGGGCGAAGGGGCTGACGGCCCGGATAGCAGCGGCGCAGAGGAACGCCTCCGACGAAAGAGCCACACACAGCGGCAGCAACAGCAACAACACTACAACTACAGCGTCGTCGGTGACGGGGGAGGAGGCCGCAGCAGGTGGTCGTACAGCAGCGGCCCGCGGCGGATCGATGCCCACGCACTTCCAAGGGCGGTCGCTCATGAGCGCCGAGTGGAGCAGCAAGCCCGGGAAAGGCGCCGCCGGGAGGCGCGGCCACCCCCGGTACGCCACCAAGGGCATGACGCCGGATTCTTGGACCGCCACCGGCAAGGACGAGGACACTCTTACCCCTGCTGCCGGCGGCGATCTGCCGGCCCCCTCGGCCGGGGTTGGGGAAAAGGGGACGGCAAAGAAGGAAGCAGGCGGACGCGGGGATGGGTGCTTGGGGTTGGGTTCTGGGGCAGCGGGAGATTTGTCCATGCGGAGAGGGCAGGGAGGTAGTAGACGTGGGCGCGGTGGCGGGGCGCCGCTGGGGGGCGCGGACGGGGTCAGAGAGAACAAGAGGGGGTTGGGTAGGGATTGGGAAGGTCTGTATCAGGTTCGACCGTTCGATGATACACCCGAGTAGAGAAACTTAATTGACAAGCGGTCGATCAAGGACAGAACAAAGCAGCTAGTTTGGAAGTAGGGGAAACAATCGTGAACGAAACCACGTAACTATTTGTTGGAACCAGCGAGCGTCCTACGTAGACATAAATTCTCCAGGTATGGCACGTGTGTGGCTTAACGGTGAACAACATGGCAGCACATAAAAATAGAACTCCGTCTTAATATCGTTGTCCACTCTCAGACGGTGCCAACCACATCAAAAGGTACTTCGTGTGAAAAGAGGGAATCCACACTCTGACAACTCTTCGTCGACGCCATTGTGAACAGAGGGAATCGCCCTCGACAGACGTTGGGGACATTGTACCTTTATGAAGGTGGTCTCCACATTCGCCTTATTCTCGTTGTCCACTACTATCAGACCGTCCGTGCCAACCACTTCTCTAGCGGCTTGGCATTCGATACCCTCGCTTTCACCCCAGCCAGCAAGACAGGGTTTGCGTCGAAAGGATATCAGTCGTAACGCGCGTGATGGTCAACAGGCAGAGCAGCAACCGAATCGCTGCTCCACAGCACGACAAGGCATCCTTCGCCCACCGCCCGCGTTCACCTTGTCTGCAGCGCAAAATGGCACGCAAAGGAACGACTCGTCGGGAATGTTTGCCTCTGGTAATTCTAGCAAGAACTCGCCAATTGGGCAAAACGCCCCCCTCCAGTAGTGCCTACATCATGCGGCACTCTCAAACAAAAAAATTTAGAATGTGGTGGTGCGCGGTTGACTTACTCCTCTTTGCCCCGCACCAGCGACTCGGAGGTAAAAAACTAGTACAACACAGGTAGGTCCCACAACGTATGAACTAATTCATCGCTGTGTTATCCCGGACTACCTCTCTTTGGAAAGAGATGAGTTGTTTCTGTAAGGAGATGTCGACACAAAAACAATTAGCCACCCCCGTGTGTCTCGCTCCACGGCGGCCTTCTCTCCTTTCCCACCCGTACCGAACACACGGACAGGCTATTCTTCGCTCGATCACTATCGTTGGTCCCAGGTCAAGGCCTCGACGATCCACGCGAGTGCCTGAACGCAGGCTCTCAAGCTCACCCCCGTTTCAGTGTGCCTCTGGTGTGCGCGATTCCTTGCCGACCCTATCCTAACGGCACAAAAGCTTTGGCATGGGTTGCTTCCCGCGGGGTCGCACGAAGGTTGGGTGTGGGTATGAGCTTGACGGCTTCCTCTCGGCTCAACGGGTGACGGGGCAAACTATCGGCGGTTAGCCGAGCCCGTTCCCGCCCGACCTCTTGCCCCACTTCTTCCTCCTCTCTGAGCTCTCCTCCGACAACCGCCCGAGCTCTGGCGCCGTCGCCACCCCGCCGCTGTCACACACACACACACCATTGTCGACATGCGTGCCGCTTCCACGGCAGAGGGTCGCTTGTAATAGGGCCGAGAGACCGGTCACAAGAACACTCATAGCCCTCGGTTCGCCTTCCGTTCTCACCCGTCCCCCGGCGAACAAGGGAAAAAAAAACACAACACCACTACTGCTGTTGGCCTACTACTCCTTGTTGTCGGTCTCGACGGTCACCTTAGGGGCTTTCTTCGCCGCGGCCTTGCCTTGCGACAACTTCTTCTTCTTCTTCGAGCCCTGCGGGGGCAAGGTTCGGTCTTTCCTGTCTCCTCCTCCTGCTCCCCTTCCTCCTCCCGCCGCCGCGGTTGTTGCCGGCGCTCTTCCGGCGGCGGGGGCGGCGGCGGGGGCGGCGTCGGCGTCGTCGTCGGCGGCGGCGGTGCTGGTGGTGGACTGCGGAGCCCGCCCCCGGCGCGCCGACCCGCGCCTGGGCAGCGTCTTCTTGACCGGCGGCGTGTCCAGCGTGGCGTCATTCATCAGCCCGAGGGGGTCCCAGAAGTCGCCGCCGCGGGCGCCGGAGTCGGAGGAAGACCTGACCCTTTCAGGCTCCCGCTTCCCAGCGGCGGGGGCGGCAGCGGCGCCGATCGTAAGAGAAGAGCAGCGAGATGGCGGCAAGGACCCCACACTAGGGGGCAGCGGCGCAGCGGAGGTGCCCGACGCCATGTCCGCGTTGTCGACGCTGCTGCTGCCCGCGGCCGTGTCCGGAGGGGGGGGCGACACGACGGCGGCGCCCCCTCCCCCCCA